TGAGGCCATCCTGGGCTACATAGTGAGTTCAAGGCCAGCCTGAATTACACAGCAAGATCCTGTCTCAAAAACCAAAATCTAGAACATAGCTCAGTGAAAAGAGCCTGGGTTCAACCAAAGAAAGAAAGAAAGGTGGGCAGAGAGAAGAAAGTAAAGAAAAGAGATGAGCCAGGCACGACATCCTCAGTCCTTTAAAAAACTTTTTTTTTTTTTTTTTTTTTTAAATTTCGAGACAGGGCCTCATTAAGCTGCTTAAATGGCCGGGCAGGCCATTACTCTGGCCTTAAACTTGAGATTCTCCTGCCTTAGCCTCCACTATGTGCCACTTGCACTGGGCTGCAAAAAAAATATTTTTATTTTTATTTTTTTTTTCTTTTTTTTGGTTTTTCTCCGGTACCGAGAACCAAACTCACGACCTTGCACTTGCCAGGCAGGCGCTTTTGCCGCTGAGCTAAATCCCCAGCCCCCCAAAAAATATTTTTAAATACATTTCTCAATCATCACAGATCACTTATTTGGCTAACTTTGTTAACCATGAAAGTATATTCTTAGCCAGGTGTAACCCCAGCCCTCAGGAGGCTGAGGCAGGAGGATTGCCTTGAGTTCAAAGATGGCCTGGGCTACATAGCACGATCCTATTAAAAAAAAAAAAAAAAAAGTTTTTTTTTAAAACCAGGTTATTGATAGTTTTAGCTGGCAACACTACCTCCACTCTTAAAGATTTTATGAGTCTTGGGGCTGGGGATTTAGCTCAGCAGCACAGCGCCTGCCTGGCAAGCGCAAGGTCGTGAGTTTGATTCCCGGCATCGGGAAAAAATAAATACATACATAAAACAAACAATAATAAGTAAATAAAAACAAAGTCCATAAACAAAGTTACAATAAACATTTATTTAGCGATAATCTCACAATAGTTTAATTCTGTTCTGAAATCGATCTACAAATATCTCTACACAACACCAAAGCCAGTGATTTAATAAATAGGAGGGATGTATAGATCTCTCTGCAAAAACGTAAGCCCGATACATTTATATCTATGTATTTGTGAAACCAGGTTCCCCAGGCTCTTGGACTACAGTGCGCACACATCTCTCTCACACACGCACACACGCACACACGCACACACTCCACTACGCTCAATCAGATGGCTTTCTATTGCGTCAAATTAAGCGCTATATAAAATTTATAACCAGATACACAAAGTAGGAGCTGAATCAGGAATACACTGTTGGTATCGGGAACCACACCGCACGAGCATGAGCTAAGAACAGGGAAATCGTCGCCTTGCGGGGTCTGGCGTGGGCACCAATCACGGTCACAAGAAATCCACGAGTGACACGGGGCGGAGACGGGGAGCAGGCATGCAGGCGCGGAGCCGACAGGGCGCATGTGACATCGCCAGTGTCACCGAGGGGAAGCAAGGTTGCCACAGGCAGAGCGGGCTGTTCGTAGCGGGCTCAGCGCAACGGGCTGACGGACGTCCCCGGACACGCGCAGGGCCCTGCGTCCCCGCGGCCGACAGCCTGGGATTCCGCCATTCGCAGTGAGGAGCAAAACGCAACTGTTCGTGAGCAAAAGGCTGATGGGGCGGGTGGGCCAGTGTTTTAAGAGGGCTGCAGGCCTAGCCAGGCGGCACAGCTGAGCTCCGCCTTCAGGCTCAATCCCAGCTTTAAAAAGTAACAGCCGGGCAGGGCCTGGTGGCACACGCCTATAATCCCAGCACAGTTTGGGGAGGCTGAGGCAGGAAGATTGTTGAGAGTTTGAGACCAGCCTCGGCCACACAGTGAGCTCAAGGCCTGCCTGAACTGCACAGCCAGACCCTGTCTCAGAAAAAGGCCAAAAAAAAAAAAAAAGTAACAGCTGGGATGGGTGTGGCAGAGCACACCTGTGATCCCAGCACTTGGGAGGCTGAGGCAGGAGGATGGTGAGTTGAAGTCCAGCCCAGATAGTCAGCAAGACCTATCTGAAAATGAAAAACTAAAAAGGGCTGTGGACGTAGCTCAGCGGGGAGGCCCTGGGTGCGGCCCCGAGTACAGCAAAAGAGGGGGGGGCGGCCAACACCCAGCAGGTGCAGAAGCTGGCTTTTGGGTGAAGTCAGCGGATTCAAAACCCTGCGGAAGTCACTGCGAGGCACTGCATGGCACCCGTGGGGCAGGTGCCGCCCATCCAACAGGTGGCGAGGATTTAAAAACAGCCCAGGTGGCAGCAGGATGGGTACAGAGACGTGCTTCTGGGCTCCCACACGCAGGCTGTCACCTTAGACCCCTGTGGGCCCTGACACGCCTGGGCAAGCCGAACACAAGCCCACGACAGAGGCAGGAGCTGGCGACCCCGTCCCGTCTCGGGGCACGCAAGTCCCACGCACAACCTCCCTGGCGCAGAGCTGCCCTGCCCGGTCTCACCGGCACCCAGTAAGGACGACCCTGCCCGTCACCCAGTCACCCCTCTTCCCTCTCAAAGGCTCCTCCCGCGTCCCCAGCACCCACCCGCAGCTCTGCGGTCTCCTGGGGCCCGCCTGCCCTCGACACTTACACGGCACCATCACCAGACTGTCATCCCCAAAGCCCAGAAACGGCGCACCGGGCCGAGGTGGTCAGGGCCAGGCCTCCGGGTGACACAGGTGCCCTCGCTCTCAACACCAACCCGCCCCGCCACACAGGCGGCCTGGAGGGGGCCTCTCGGCTCCGAGGTTGTTTCCTGTGGTTGGCAGAGCGAACATGGACTCGGAGATGGAAACACGGATTGTTAACGCTGAGTAAGATCTTTTACAAACTGGTCCTTGATGAACAGACGCGCAGGTGTTGGCACCCGAATGCTGTGATGTCACCGTCAGGAGGGGTATGATTTACAGGAATGTACTATACAGCCCTGAAGACAGCAAAAGGGTGCTCTTCGAGGTGGGCTATGGTACAAAAATACGTTTTTCCATGTACAAAAGAACAAAGAGATGGGGTGGGGCGGATACCTACAAGCTTCTGTGGGATGGAAGAAGAGAAAATCCGTAACTATTTGGGGCTCGGAATACACCCAAAGTGAAACGTACGCATTAAAAACCGTTCCAAAGCCCAGCATCTGGGGTTTCTATCAGAACTTCAAACACTGTTCCACACCCTGAAGTGGTTTTTATAATGAATAGTGGGTCCATTAAAAATGAAACCATCGTGGCCGGGCGTGGTGGCGCACGCCTGTAATCCCAGCACTCGGGAGGCTGAGGCAGGAGGATCCCTGCGAGTTTGAGGCCAGCCCGGGCAACAAAGTGAGCTCAAGGCCAGCCTGAACTGCATAGCGAGACCCTGTCTCAAACAAACAAAAGATTCATCTGTCACACAGAAACAGCAATGGGTCCCATCCAGACATCATTTGCTGGAGACACCCACGTGCACCTTAACAACAGAAGCTCAGAAGCATCCTCCGAAAGACAGCTCCGCACTGCACCACCCGAGGTGCTGGCAGCTGAGTCCCTCCAGGCCAGCGGGGGCGGAGTCTCCAGCCTGGTCCTAACAGAGGCGACACACAGGGTCCTGACGTCACCGCCTCGTCCTGCAGAAGCCGGGCTGATTTGCCGACAGGTTCCTACCCACCCCTGACCCAACATCAGACAAAAAGCACCTACCACAGCCACTGTCGAAACCCCAGGAAAACCACACAGGTCTCCTCCACGGCACGCTGCTCCCGAGGAGGTCCTAAAAGCAGCAACAGACTTGACTTTTTTGAGACAGGTTTCCAACTCACAGTGAACTTCCTGCTTCAGCCTCCCAAACGCTGGGGTCACAGGCTTGTGCCCCCACACCCAGCAACAGACTTGAAAATGGGGTCAGCTGCGACTGCTTGTTTTCCTTTATGGTCCTGAGCCAACTAACAAAATGAAAAAAGAAAAAAAAACCAGCTGGGCATGGTGGCACACACCTGTGAGCCCAGCACTTGGAGGCTGAGGCAGGAGGACTGCTGTGAGTTTGAGGCAAGACTTTGTCTCAAAAAATCAATGAAACAAATAAACAAACCCTCTCACGCCAGCTTTCCCGTGGAGGCCCGGCTGGCAAACATCAACCCAGACACCAGCTTGATTCCTCAATGACCTCTAGGCTGACCCTGACAGCTCTTGGCATTGAACCCCAAAATGTAGCTTAGTCCTGTCCTGCACATTCCTCTTGGAAATGTTGAGGTTAAAATACATCAAAAC